TCATGGGAATGGGGGGGCGGTATGGGGGGTACCAGGTGTGTTACTGACCCCGCCCAACTGCTGCCCCCTCCCAGGCTGGACCTGAGCAACTGCTCCCTGCACAGTGTCCCCCTGGAACTGGCCGAGGCCACCGCTGCCATCGTCCTGTGAGTCCCCCGGGGCCCCCTCTGCCCCCGCGAGGAGCTGGGCCGGGGTGGGTTTGGTGGGACCCCCCATGGGCCCCAGGCCAGCACAGCCCTGCCCTGCTGGTCTCAGCACCGCAGGGGACGCTGGCCACTCTCTGCCCTGGTGGCAGTTGGGGACAGTCCCCTGGGCCTGGACAAAGGGAAACTACTCCCATGCCCAGTGGGAGCATGGGACAGACCCTCCTGATGCTCTGTCACACATGCAGTGACAGGGGACAGCTGGTGCGGCTCCACGGGGGACACGTGGCTGCCCATGGTGGAGGGGCTGTTCCAGGGTCCCACACAGCGTCCTTGTCCCCAGGCTGGAGAGATGGGGGCGGGGGGTGGCTCGGCTGGACAGCCCCGCCCAGGGCACTGTCAGGGCTGGGTGTGCAGAGCTCAGGGCACCCCGCTGGGCCCAGCTCCGGGTCTTTGTTAACCACGTCAGTGGCCGAGCCCCTCCCTCAGCAGCTCCACGGGGAGCTCTGAGCCCTGGGGGCTGGGGGGGCTGCACCCCCAGGGCCTTGGGGGGAAAATGGGGGGTATGGGAACTGCCTGAGGTTCAGTGAGGTCCGGAGCGACCCCAGTGCCCACCAGGTCGGGGGTGCGGGATGGGGCTGAAGGTCCGTCTGTTCACAGGGACCTGACTGAGAACCCGCTGACATCCCTCCCCAACGGCTCCTTCCTGGGCTTCACCCACCTGCAGCTCCTGTGAGTGCCGGGGGGTCGGGGCTGGGGGGTCCCTGCAGTCTGGTGCTGAGCTCTGTCCTCAGCGCGGTGCCGGCGGCGCTGGAGTGTCCGGGCGGGAGTGACGCCTGGCAGGATGTGACAGTGGACGGGAGCATCCGGCAGTGCCGGGGCCAGAAAAACCCCTGCAACGGCTCCGCGGAGCTCGGTACGGCGGGGGGACAGTGACCCCGGCAGTGGGTGCCTGGGGCTGGCAGTGGGGTCTGGACTGGGCCTCATGACCCCCCGCTCTGCTCTGCCAGCCTGGCTGTGTCCCGAAAACTCCGCGTGTGCCCCCGATGGCCCCGGCCTCGTCCAGTGCCTCTGTGACAGCCCCTTCCACAGCTACAAGTGCCTGCGTGAGGTGAGCACCAGGGGGACGGGACCCCTCTTCAGCTGCCCCCCAGATGGATCAGGGAGGGCTTTGTGGGGCTGCAGGGGTTGGCACCACTCACCACTGCTCCCGGGCAGGGCACGTTCCCGGTACTACTCTTCGGTGGGATCCTGGGCACTGCCACCGTATCCCTGTCCCTGCTGCTGTGGGGCACCCAGCGGAGGAAGGCCAAGACCCCCTGAGTGGGGCAGGGGGCTGTGGATGGGCAGGGGACCCCCTGGCCTGGGGGTCTCTGTGCCCAGGCCTGGCTGTCCCTGTGGCTGCCAGGGATCAATAAAGCCACAGGTTTTCACCATGTGTCTGTCCAGTTCCTTTCTGGGGAGGGGAGCAGGGGCTCAGTGGAACCACCAGTTCCTTCCCGGGGAGGGGAGCAGGG